AGCTGGAGATCCAGAGAATGTGGTGATCTGTGCATCTAAACAGTGCAAAAGAGGGCACTTTCACAGGTCTTGCTTGCTGTTGACAAGAGTTCCAAAAGTGTGGAAATGTTATGAATGCAGGAAAATCCAGAAAAAATGAAACACTGTATTAGTTCAGATTCCCTGTAGTGTTTATGATTAACATTTTTTGTAATGTAAACAAAACATAAAATAGCCATAACAGAATAAACACATAATATGACTCCAAATGAGGTTGTTACAACAGATAAATAAAGTAAATGCTACATTAAAGAGATAATTGGTTAACAGACGAAAGAGAAGAGAAAAAAAAAGAAAAAAAGCAATAGCTAAATAGAATACAAAACGAAATAAGAAGCACTGTTCTATCACAACTAAAAACTTAGCATCTCTCCACCATATGACCTCTTTCAGGAGCCCTTTAAAAATTGTAAGTATTTGCCCCACTTTGCTTCATATAGATCCAGTCTATCCACTTGTTTATATGACATTTTTTCGAATGCTGCAACTCGTGCCATCTCCACAGCCCACTCCTGAAGAGAGGGCACCCCCTCCGTCTTCCATCTCCTGACAAGTATTTGTCGGCCAATCATAATACTGGTTTGGACATAACTTTTGATATGTTTATCCTGTCCTGTCAGAACTGAATGATCACCCAAAATAAATAATCTANNTATGACATTTTTTCGAATGCTGCATATAACTCTGATTCTCAAGAAAGATTCTACTGTTCTCTCAGAGCTGGATGTCTCAAAACCTGGGCAAATTAAACTAAAACTTCCTGTGTGGCTTGATACTACTACAGGCAAGTGATTTGTCTCTTAATATATATATGACTGGTCCAACAAGATTACCCCAAGTTGCAGTTACAGTTGGTTGCCAAGCAGCTGCAATTACTACATTACTACTACAAACACTCAAAAAGTTACTAAACAATATTTCATTCACCCACATTGCTCGTCATCAGAATGAAACTACTCTGTTGTGGGTTGCAACAATGTTATAGTTGCAACCATCAATCATATCATTTTATTTGTGAGGAAGTTTATTGGTATACTAATTAGATCTACAGATGATACAGTGTGGAGACCCCTACATGGAACAAGCCGAAAAGAAAAAAAATTCAAACTAGAAAATAATATTGGGATTGTTCAGTATCAAACTAAGTGAATGAACTGAACATGTAGACAACAATAATCTGCATTCCAACCATTATCAAAAGACTCTCAGACATGGATCTGACTTTGTCCTTTATGCAAATGTGTTCTAAAAACTGCAAAAAAAAAGGAAAAAAAAGGAAAGTGTGGCATTATGAACACTGTCTCCTTTGTTTTCACAGTTGCCATGTTTTTGTTTTTGTCTAATTATCCATCTAATCTTTCACACAAAGCACAGTTGGACTTTGGACGTTGGACAAGAGATGAGATGTTACATGTCCACATTTATCCACGTAGGTGTTAAAAATCCCATAAACAGTATATTTAAAAACACCTGATTTGTGCTCCTGACAGGATATTAAAAATGTCACTTTAAGTATAATACTTAAGAACAATTTATTTAGCATCACAAGACAAGTTATATAAGTTAACTAATGTTGGTTAATGGTTATCATGAAAAGCAAACTAGCCATCTAAATCTCTAACTTGACTTAACATGTTTTGAAGAATTATGGAGAGTAGTATCAATAAGTATTCTTATTAATAAGCAGTTTTTTAATGTACATATATCAAAGAAATCCTCAGTCCCATAGTGTGAAGAGTATCCCTGACCATGCTAATGTGTGCTAGTTGTAATGTTTTATGAATTTAAGAAATATATAAATCATTATAAATACCACATCTAAATAATTATTCCTAACACGATTACCCATACACTGTACTCAGATAAACTATTCAACCAAAGGCACAGGCACACACATGCATACATACATTTCATATATAGGTTGTCCTCAACGCATATAATACACCTTAGGCCATTTGACATTAAAATGACTCAACTGAATGAGACAAACTCTGCAAATGTGGTTTCAGATCAGGGCAGACATTTATGCAGGCAAGAACATACTGTTCTGATGGTTGTTTTTCCCCTGTGCTGGAATGGAATGAAAGTGGGCTATGGAAAGAAAAGACAGATCAGCCTACCATTATGTGCTTTTTATAGGACTTGCTTTAGCACTGTGGGAAACTGAATAACCTCTTCAGAAGATGCCAATGGATTTTTTTAAGTCAATGAGACTACTCTCGGGACTGCAGGAATGGTTCATTGTAATTACTGGGAGACAGTGTGTTGGGCGAGCTAGAGCTGACGGTCTGCCCCCAGTTGTATTTGGGTTAAAACACAATGACACTATCCCCAAGTTCATATTTTTACAAGTCTGATTGCCTGCACCAGCTGGAGAAAGTAGTAGTGCCTTTCTTATTATCCTTAATCCCTTCTGTCAACTTACCCGGCACTTTATTATAAAACTTTTTCTGAAAGCAGAGCAATTTATACTGTTGTGTGAATGTTCTTCCAGATTGCCTCCCTTGTCATACAATTATCATCACACATTGAACATTTTGCACATGAACTTAGAATGAATGTTGTGTTAGGGTAAAGAAAAAGAAAAAGGCAATATGTTTTGTAGATACATAAATAACATTGATTATATCTCACTCTGCTTTGGAAGCAGCTGCTCCATAGGCATGAATCATATTACACAAGTATAATCTTGCATCACAGTGAAAAGTCTAAACTAGTCTAGAACAACAAACTTCTTCTTTTACAGTCATACAGCCAATTTATTTTCAAGCAACTGTGTGCTCAGACAACTAAACTACTTTTGTTTTCAGAGGTTTTGCATGCACAGGCACATTCTGACACGTGCCTTTATTTACATATTACTGTACTTATACAGCCATAACAATTACATATTTATAAATACACTAATGTAGTGTAATTGCCCTGATGCTATTTGTCACATTCATTACAGTCCTAGCATTTATTTGTCATAATATGACCCACAGTAGGTTTGATATAGTACATTACAGTACATGCACACACACACAC